TTTCCTCTTAGTTCATTGAGAAGAAAGGTTTGCATTAATATTGTTTACACACGCTATCATGTCTGCATCTTGTCCTCTGAATACTACGAAGACAACAATATGCAATATATTAATTATTTAACCATCCTACTAACCTGTTTTTTTTTTTTTTACAGAGGTTATGAGCAGAATATATTTATTGAAGGAAAGAAAGCTCCTGTCTGAGAGAGGGACAGGAGGGGGGCCTGATTTGAAACTGTTTGCTATTTTATCTTTTTTCTCATTAAAATGAATTTAAAAAATAAAAGAAGATAAATGAAATAAAATAAAACAAAGAAAGGAGACTAAATGGTTGGAATGCAGTGAGTATGAGGAGGGAGCTGTAAGATTGGCTGCAAGGGCCAGATCATTGCAGGCAATCAAAAGGACATATGTCTTCACTTAAATTGAGATATAAAGATATAGGGGGAATTCTAGGAAGAGAAGTGGCAAATCTGACTTGTGTATTTTAAAGGATCACTTTTGTTATTGTATTGGAACAAGAATTAGGCAGGGTAGGGACAGGAAGATAAGATAGGACATAGGATGTTTGTACAATAATAGAGTCAAAAAGGTGATAATGTATTAGACTAAAGTTACTGATGGAGGTAGGGAGAAGTGGTATGAATATGTAGGTGTGAGAGAAAACAGTATTGAAGGTATTTCCGGCTTTTTGTCCTAAGTAATTGGAAGAATGGAGTCACCATTTTTCAGAGGTGACATAGTGTGTAAGTTGAGCAGGTTTAAAGATAGGATCTGTTCAGTTTGGAAAGGTTAACTCTATGCATCTCAAATGTTATTGTTGTTTATATTTTATCCTTAACTTTGAGGATTTCTCCAAATTAGAATATTAATTTTGGACATGTTAAATTAATTTAGAATTGTACATTAGACATTTGAATTGAGTTACATATTTGGAAGTCATGACTAAAGGCATGAATTATTACCTTTTCTAGTAAAGAAATATTAACTAAAATATAATACTGTTTTCCTACCCATGAGTTTGGAAAGAAAATTTAATTAAAAATGTTCAGCATGAATAAGATTATGCAAAAATGAGCACTCATGCATTTTTAGAGTATGAATCTGTAGAGTCCCTCTGGAGGAAATTTGATAGTTTTCCTTAAGATTAAAAATGTGGGGGCTGAGGAGATAGCTCAGTAAATAAGCACTTGCTGCAAGTGCAAGGGCCTGAGTTCAATCCCTGGTTCCGCTAAAAAAGATAAAAAAAAAAACACATTATCCTTTAACCCAACAATTGCACTTCTATAACTGTATCCACTAAATACACTTTCACATATGTGCAAAAATATGTGTATAAAGATATTCAATACTGTAGTTATTAACAGAAAAAAATGGAAAATGAATATGCCCAGTAACAGAAAATGGTTAAATAACTTATCGCTCAGTCAGCCTGAAGTACTTATATTCATGATGCTGTGATGGTTAAGCTTGAGTGTCATTTTGCTGGCTTTGGAGCAACATATAAAATTAGTAACACATACTTCTGTGCATATCTGGCTGGCAAGTGAGGCATGATTTTGGGTACAATATCTGGCCCCCAGTCCCTTCCCTCTGGGAGTCATTCAACCACCCTCTGCTTTATGGCTACCATGAACTAAGCAGCTATGTTGTGCCATCTCCTTCTACCATGATGTTTCTTTGAGCCAGGTAATCATGGATGAAACCCTCTGGAACCATGAGCTAAATAAACCTCTCCTCCTTTAAATTGTGCTTAAGTATTTTGCCCAGCAATGGAAATTCTAACTTATACATGTCCTTGAGACAAAAGTCAAATTACTCTATAGTGAGTCTATGAGAGAACTTAGCTTAAAAGCTAGAGTGGGACAGGATGGAATGATTCTCAGAGCAAAGCTTGGATAAGCATTCAAGAGGGGGGAGAACAGGTTCAAAGTGTGCATCAGTGTAGGCTTTGGGAAGCTTTAAAGTACAGGATCTTAGGATGAAAGAACAGGGCATGGAAGTAGGATTCCCAGGTCCTAGTTTTGCCAATGGCCTCCTAGTACTATTTGTAAATGAAAATGTGAATGTAAATGCCTCATTTCTAGTGCCACCCTGTTTTCATTTGGAGAACAGTATCTCTTAAATTGTCCCTACCTCCTGCAGTACCTCTGCTTCAGTTAATTTCTCTTGTTTTCTATTCACAGGCTTGTAGTTTCTTCCTAAAATGATTCAAAACCAATGAACTATTAGTTCTGAGATTGGGCCAAGACCACTCACAGCTGAAGACAGAGGCTCTGAGTAAGCGAACTGTGAAAAGTTACAGAGTACATGAGGGGGGGTGAGGGGACAGGGAATGGATCTCCTTTGGATCAGAAAGCAAGATTTTGCCTCTTAGAGAATATCACCACATTTGTTGCAGATGTTTGGGGCATTTAAGGAGAAAAGGGAAGGGAAAAAAACACATGAGATTGACTGAAAAAAATCTACTGAAATAACTGATTATATAACATTAAAGTTTAAAGTAGTTCTACTGAGATTTTTCATTCTCTGCATGAGCATCTGAAACAGGACTTCCCCTTCTGTTTTCATTGTTACTTATTCTATTCACAGGTTCTGCCTATAGACTAATCAGAACATTTGCTTTCTTATCTTTGAACTTCTGTTGCAAATTAAGAAATGGGAGGAAAAGTAATTTCTTTCGTGTTCCTCAACACAGAAGGCAAACTTCTTGCTTATAAGGAGCAGGAAGTGTTTACTTACTTGCAATTTAGGATGACATCATTGACATGACACCACTTTTTAAAAGCTGACCCTACATCCCCAAAAGAAAATGAGAATGGAAATATTATGCTTGTTCAATTTTTTGAACTTTTGAAACTGTTCACACAACAATTTAAGAAGCTGTAAAGATCAACTGAGCAGCTTATGACTAGAATTTTCTTTTTTTTGGTATTTTTTTTAGGGACGGTCTACAGGGTGTTCAGGGTTTTCCTACTAGATGGGACTCGTAGTGATCCGCCTGTTTGCAGCTATCCAAGAGCTGGGATTAGAGGCACGTGTTACCATGCCCAGTCTTCTTTTTTTTTGAGACAGTTTCACTATGTAATTCAGACTAGCTTTGGACTATGTAGTCTAGGCTAGCTTCGAACTAGTGGTATTCCTCCTGCCTCAGCCTCCCAAGTGATAGGATTACAGGTGTGTGCCACCATGCCCAGTGTGACTAGCATTTTCAAAAAACAAGTAAACAAAAACAGAAAATGTTAGGAATGCACTGTAAGTGCTAAGCATGAGGTTTTTGGATGTATTTTCTTGGTGCATTTATACAACTATACCCTGGGTTGTAATATAAAATATACCCATTATTGTGAGTCATAGCAAAAACTTTGGAAGATATCTACCTAAAGGATAAATGTGGGCTGGGGATATAGCTTGGCCATCTTAGCACCTACTTGGCAAGCTCAAGAACCTGGGTTCAATCCCTGGCACTGCATGCACTGCTGGCCCCAGAATCCTGGGCATGCCATGCCTGCCACCGAGACCTGGCATGTGGCAAATACCTGTAATCCCAGCACTGAGGTGGCTGAGTCCAGAGGATCACTATGAGTCCAAGCTGTGTACATAGACTGTGTACCAAATCAATCAATCAGTCAATCAATCAATCATTTAAAGGATGCATGTAACACAGTCCTAAATTTACATCATATCCCAGGACCTTCCATTTGAAAAATTATTCCAATGATACGCTGTAGTTCTCTACCTTTTAGTCCTTCTCCATAATGCTAGGTTGACCTGTACAGCTCTTGGAGAAATCTTTTGTGTAGAAAACTGCATCTGGCAAAAAACAAGCATTAGTACAATACAGAAAGGTGTGATAGCAAGTGTTTTGGAAAGTCAGATATGACCTATCATTTCCCTTTAAATGTGTGGTTGTGTTAAAGCATACAAATTTATGGTAAAGTACAGATAGGCAAGAACGAAACATTAATATATTTTTAACTATATTAAATAATTTTACAACAAATATTAGTAAATGAAGCCCTGTTCTATCAAATTTCTTGACTCTACTCATCACAGGCAAGTTAATTCAGCAAAATTTCAAAATAAAAGAATTCAGTATTTTCTTGGCTTTTAACTTTCCCAAATACTGCACTATTCTTTAACCTCACTGGCACTACCTTTTTGGATAAACTACATACTAGGTAATCTAAAAAATAAGGAAAATATTGATTCAAATTCATTGATACATACAAACTCTCCCCCCCACACACACACACTTTTAAAGTCTGTAACTATTCTAGGCATATGGGCTAGACATGAAATATAAATGACACGGTGACAGAGTTTAAATCATTACAGTGTTACTACTGGCCTCCACTATGATGAATTTTATCTAAGTAGATATCCAACCATTTTTACTTAGGTAAAATTTATTACTGCATTTCATTCATCTAAGATGCTACTGATTATAACACTATTTGTATCAGCAAGAAGGGGGTAAGGCGATTAAACTGTGATATGGCATCAACTTAAGGTCCATACCATTTTCAGAGATTTAAATGTGAAAATCACATGCATCTTTAAAGAGACTGAAATGTTATTTGACTGAATGTAAAAGCCACTACTTCTCACAGTTCTTTAAATGTCTGGTGACATAGTTTTAAATGTAGAATTGAATTTAATTAATGGCATTCTTTTGGCAACTCGGTTATATTTTAGTTTCACTGTTCTTACTGAATATGCTTTGGTTAGTTGCTCAAGGGTAAGTTTTCCAGCTTCTCACCAAAAATTTCAATGCGACATCAAACAGGCGATCTCAGAAATGTAAATTCTTGGGAGAAAAAGAACAGCATGGGCTACAGAAAGAACAAAGAAAAAAGTCCAAATTTTGAACTACTGTTTTAAACATTTAAACATTTTTTAAAAGTTTAAAAACCTTTATATTATAAAGAAACGTGTTTGAGTCTTAAAAATCAAAACACCTTAAAACATTATTGAAAAACACAGGCAATTTTTATTTTTCAAATTATAAAAATACGATCAAGTGAAAAATACAATCTTGTCCATACAAGAGCCGTTCCATCCACTTCAAAGTAATAGTTTGGAGAAAGTAATTTACAGATATTCAGCAATTACTACTTATATGCAGCTTTTATTTGAGATTGTTCTCCACAATGGAAAGGATGATATTTGGGGACTTTTTATTGCTGCTAAAGCTGTGGTTTAAAAAAAATCTAAAATAATAATCATATCACTTTTGACTAGAATACTATGTTGTATAAATTTTGATCATTCAAAAAGAATGAGTGGTTTAAATATCCATTTGACTCCCTTCTCTCTAAGTCTATCTTGGTAATACATCAGAAGTACAGTGTATAGCTTTAGACAAGACTAAACGAATTTAATAAAAACAATTTTGGTTGTAATGTATAAACAAAGATGACATATATAGCTTAAAAACATTATAAAATTTCAAAGACTAGTATGTTTTGTCTAAAATCAGAGCTAGGGTTTTTCTTCAGAAGTACAGACATAAAATTATTTTGTTCTTCTGAACGTTTAGATGATCTGTTGCTGTTTTCCCTTTTAAAAGAAAATGGTTTAGTCACATAAGAGAAAAGTGTTTTAAAGCTGATCTCTTTGTTCAATGCCACATGAAAGACTAAATCATAAAATTCAACTGAAATAATAGATGATACAGCTGACACTACAAAACAGGGTGGGAAATCACTCATTTTGGGGTGGGTAATACATAGCAGACTCTGCTACTGAAGTTTATACGGAAGACTTACAAGTTAGAGGGTAACAAAGATAAAGGAATGGCTTTGCTTCCAGCTTTACTGTTAAACCCTGTCAGTTCAGGCTTATTCCTGACAATTTTACTTCTATAAAATTCTTGAATAAATTTAGACATGCTGATGACAATTCTCAGAACCTTTGGAGAAGATAGAAAACAAGTACCAAAATGTTACCATGTGCTCAACCTCTTCTTATTTTTGTCTTTAACCTTGGAGTTTTGCATTTCTCTTTCTCTCATTAAAAATACAAGTTCTACTACTACACATTCCCTAAATATAACGACCTGGAACTGCCAAGAAAAATGTTTTTAAGTTTTGCTTTTAAGCCATCAAATATACTTACAAACGAGGTATCAACAGAAAATAATTTTCACCTTTCTCCTTAATTCCCTTGTTAAGGAAAAATGTCAACATAAGAAAACTTAACATGAAAAAAGACTACTGAAAATATCCACATGTAATTGCAATGTCAGAGTATTTAGACATAAACAGAACTGATTTGAAAAGACTATACTACGGGCTGGGAAGATGGCTCAGTGGAATAAGCGCTCCCCCGGCAAGCACAAGGGCCTGAGTTCAATCCCAGTTCCGAGAAAAAAAAAAAGTCTATACTTATACATGAAAACTGCATCATGAGTGTTAACAGAAAATAGGCATGTGTTTTACTACAAAAATAACCAAAAAAATTTTACTTCCTCCCAGAGTGTTACATTGTGCTGACATCCCATAGGTAATGTTACAAAAGGATTTTTGCAATTGTCTGGGTTCACAGTGAGTATGCTAGTATCACAATCATGTTTAGTTTTACTTTGAACGTCATTAATGGAATGTATATAAGGCATGTCAAAAACTAGCAGTAAAGCTTTTATGGGAAATAATGCAAACTGGCAGTTACTGCAAAACACACAATATGGAGTAAGAAAATCTTGAAGAACTTTAGATTCAGAGCATACTTATTTATAGTGCTTTTACAATGAGATTAATGAATTTAGATAAACTTCTGCTGCTGGACCTGAAGGACCAAAATGTTGACTTTTGCCCTTTTAATTATTATCCCAGTCTTGAAAACGGAAGCAATCACTTGCAATCTTCCACACAGTGCTGGTAGGAGTGGCTTGAGCAGTCAGCAGGAAGTTCTGGTTGAAGTAGTGTTGTCTGTTTCCATCAAATTTCACAGTGCCACTGGTCACCACAAGAACTGTATTCTGGGATGGCGTAGCTTGCTCTTTAGCACACACACACAAAGAAACTGGTCAGTTTCTGTCTCTAAATATGCATATTTTCAGGCTCTATTTATTATCTACTGCTACAAATTTTTCATGAACATTCTTTATCTTGAGTATGTTCGACATGTACATCCAAAGCCAGAAAACCAGTCATTTAAAAATAATAAAACTATTTTTAGCCCAGAAAGATTTGGAGGTGCTCTAAATAAGTGCTTATGCCTAGCATAGGAACATCTGTTCCCTATATTAATACTTCATTAGAATGGTTTTTAGATTTTATGTTTGCCTTTTTGAGACAGGGTCTCATTATGCAGTTCAGGCTGGCCTATACCTCACTTTGTAGCCTAGGCTGGTCTCAAACATGTAATGATCCTCTTGCCTCAGCCTCCTGAGTGCTAGGATTACAGGCATCATTAGGTTTTTAGTAGAGTTTATTCATATTTTGCTTAAGCTATTCTTCAAAAACTATTATAATTTTTTTTTTTGGTACCAGGAATCAAACTCAGGACTTTGTGCTTGCCAGGTAGGCGCTTGTGCCCCTGAGCTATATCCCTGGCCTTTCAATAACTATGGTATAAAGAAAAAAAAAATCACCCTGAACAACTAAAAACATTAGGCTCCCCATCTAGAGGTGAATATTATGAACTGCACCAATCTACTCAATCAAGCTGGCTTACTGAAAATCATCCTTTCATGTAACACAGTGAAATTTTAATAGATTGTAAAACATATTAATCAGAGACAGTGCATAAATTTTGTCTGGAGATACTCTCCATCTGACAAAAATAAAATTTATTCTTGGCCGCCGCCGCCGCCCCCGCCAAGCAACATGGCGTCTAGAGTCGCAGCCTTCCTCAAGAACGCCTGGGCCCAGGAGCCGGTGCTGGTCGTGTCCTTCGCCATCGGGGGCCTCGCTATAATAATGCCCCCTATCAGTCCCTACACCAAATACTCCAGCATGATCAACCAGGCCACGCCCTACAACTACCCAGTGCCCGTCCGAGATGATGGGAACATGCCTGATGTGCCCAGCCACCCCCAGGATGCCCAGGGCCCCAGCTTGGAGTGGCTGAAGAACTTGTGAGCACCTCTGTAATGGACGGGAAGTGGGCCCTTGCCCTGTCCCCAAATAAAAATGTAAAAGCCAAAAAAAAAATTTATTCTTAATTTCTTATACAATTTAATAAGCTATAATCACAATCCATTGATTGTGAAAAAAGATACACCTAAAGTTGAAACAAAAGTTTGAGCGGACAGCTGAAATTTTTATGACACTTAACTTAGTCAAATACGTAAATACTTATACCACTCAAAGTTGCTAGATACTTTTGATGTAAAAGGTGAGGACTTATGAAGGAGAAAGGAAGTCCTTGAAAATTTATGATCTTACCATGAACTGGTTGGCAGTCTAACATATTAACCTGGAACTCACTAGAAGGCAACATCTCAAAAAAATTATTTAGGTCATCCCGACCTGTAACAACATTTCCATTCCATACTAAAGTGGCCTTGTCCAGATATAGCCTGATAAGTGCCTAAAAAAAGAGAAAAGTTTAGAAAATTGATTTTCAGGGAAGCAAATTCTGAAAATGAATTAAATGGTTACAGATGGTATATAAACACTTTCATGACTCTACCTTTATCTCTACTTATTTTGGCCCTTTGCCACTATAAACCAAGGTGAACAAGGTGTCTCATAATCTTGTCCTTAAAGAGCTATTATACTACTCTTTAAAGACTAGGTAATTAATACATGTTTATTATTTCCTTTAGCCACAATTAAAAACAACATTCAAAAAGAAAAAGATTCTTAAACTTTTACTTTCTCTTTTAAAATGAATTAAATGGCAACAAATTCTAAGGAACTCCAAATCAGTTTTTGGTTCCCTTTGTAATTCTTTTTTCCCTGTTATTTGTTTTTTTTCCCATAATTTTATTGAGAAACAAATAGCAATGAGACAAAAGTGAGAGGAATTTCAATACTCTGGTTTCTCTTTAGATTGTTTATTTATTTATTTGGCGGAACCAGGAATTTAACTCAGGCCCTTGTGCTTGGCAGGGGAGCGCTTATTCCACTGAGCCATCTCCCCGGCCCCACGTTTGTAATTCTGAGAATTAATAAAGTTACCAATTAAGGCTTACTATACTTAAATCCTAGCATTTATATACATGTGTTTGAGTTAGTTCTCTAACTACTCTAATAACATATTCAAGTCAAAAGAAACAGGAACCTCTGATGAGTGAAATGAGTTAAGTTCCAAGTGACATGTTATTTGCTTTATTCCAAAATTTAACTTAGGTTACAAGGACAATACCTATTCTGGCAGTGGTAATAAATCATGTTGCCTTTTCTGCTACTTTATTTTTGAAAGTAGTAGGGTATAATAAATACTCAGGACAAAGCACAATAAACATCTATTATCATATCACTTTCCTCATACAATGTCATCAGATATCAGTTGTGGAAATATATTTCACCTTTACCTTAAAGTTTTGTAGAGAGAGAGTATTTTGAACCTGTATGATAGAAATTTTCTTCCAAAAATAAATACAGTTTCATTCTAATAAGAGACATAGACCAAGACTCATTTTACCACATAATAAAATAATTAGACACGATTCAGGTATAAATTACAAGAAGCTACTAAAGTTTGGTCTGTTAAAGACTAAATGCACCTATGCTATGTAAATCCTTTTGTGAGTACCAGTTTTAGTTGTGAGTCTTAATCAGAAATTATGTGTCAATATATGAAATAAAAAGGGCAAACCAAGAAAGCTTCCTGTAATGGTACTAGTCCTATAATGGTACTAGTACTTCTTTAACCATATCTATTAAATGGTAAGAGACTCACTTTTCCTACAATCCCAGTAGTTGGGAGGCTGAAGCAGGAAGACTGCTGTGAGTTTGAGGCCAGCTCAGGCTATATAGTGAGTTTGAGGCCAGCCTATACTACATAGCAAGGCCTTGGCTCAAAAAAAAAAAAAAAAGAAAATCTAAAAATATCTAAAAGATCATTTTATTATAGTACTGGGAACTGAAGCGAGGGCCTCTGCATAGACCTACATTACTGAGCCATTTCTTTTTTATTTTGAGACCTGGTCCCACCAACACCTGCTAAATTAGCCAGGCTGGGCTTATACTTGCAGTCCTCCTGCCTCAGCTTCCTAATGTGCTGAGATTACAGGTGTGCAACACCATGCTCAGTGTGGCTCAGCACTATGTGTGATGCAGTATTTAAATAAGTTCCTATTTATCACCATAAAAATAAAAGGAGGTCAAGGGAAATTAGCAAGTCACCAGAGATAATGGAACTAGGAAAAGATAAGCCTAGCATATGATTCTAGAGTTCACACTCCCACCAAACCACAGCAATCCTTTCACAAGCAAGGATTTTAAATAATAGTTCACAGTTATTGTTTTGGCAAGTTTGATAAGTGCCTAGCTCAACAACAACAACAACAAAACCTATTTATTACAGAATGGTAAAGACTACAGTGCTCACCCTTCTTCGCTTGTCCATTGTCTCATAATAAATATTGACAAATTCTTCAGCAGCTTTGCACGCTTGGTCTGCGTAAGTTTTAAAATCCTACAAGAATGATTTCAGAAAGGCAGATTACCATCATTCCAACCCTTGACAAACACAAAACTACCAACAGGAGCTGATGATTTATTCGTGACACTACGAACCTCTATACACATGTCACATTCTTTTATCTAAACTTGGACATTTTAAAAAGCAGGGCTCAAATGTTAACCATTTTTTTAAATTTTCACTGTTTTTTGAACATGTCTCCAGTATTAGTACCGCGCTAAGCGATTGCACCCCTGGAGCTCCTGTGCATGGCTTCAGAACATGATCAGCTGCTACTAATCTATCTGGTTTCTTCTTTCAGCTTCACACAAATTTATAATCTTTCCTTGATAAGCAAAGGAAGACTTTCAATATTTTATAAATATTCATCTTAAAGTGACACACCCTGAACAATAAGAATGTGGGAGGTTGTCACCGAATAAACTGTGGCAGAGTTTATTTATCTTCAAGAGAGAAATTATGACCAATCTCAAGAGATGAATGAAAAAAAGGACTACAAATTAAGTCCTACCACTAAGTGACGAACTAGGCAGCTCCACACAAACTTTCTCACATTATGTAAACATTCACCTCTGTGGGTCAAAGAACTGACAAACCTAGGAAAATAAATGCTGATAAAGTTCATTCAGGATAGGAGAAATAAGTACGTCCTTCCCCAGCTCTTAACCCGGCTAGGCCCATTAAGTGAATTAAAAATGAGGAATCGCCAGACTCATTTTTCTCAAGGGTTCACAAGTGATTTTAGAGCGGTAGACAGTGGAATGAGACAGGAAGCCATAGACCACGAACTCCAACATCTAAAACTTCTATCCAAATCGCACAGCAGGGTGTGTGTGCGCGCGCGTGTGTGTGCGTGTGCGTGCGTGTGTGTGTGTGTGTGGTGTGTGTGTGGTGTGTGTGTAGAACCGGCAAAGTGGGCCCCGCCCCAGAGGCCGGCGGGCCCGACCCTGATTCGCCATGTGCTCACGTGACCAGCAGTGGCCAGTGTCCTTCCCTTCCGCTGCCCGAGCTCGGGCGCCCGGTCCCTTGTCGCTTCCCACTCACCACTGCCATGGCCATCGGGGAGTCTGAAAAAGTCCTTCCCAGCGGTGGCGAAGTCACTGCGTCCTCCCGGGTACAGCGCTCTTGGCTGCCGAACGACCAAATATTTAGAATGAAAGCGAAACCCGCCAAACGCGCACAATTTTCACCCCGCCCATTCGCTACCGGAAGTAGCTTGGTCCGTTGTTGAAATGCCTCCGATGTGTCAACGTCACATCTAAATCGCACCTCCTTTCAGTTCCGCCCGGTCCCGCCATTCCACCTTATTTACTTGCAGGATATTTATTGGTTTAAAAGTAAAAAAATGTACTTTCGTAAACCGGCTACTGAGAACGACAGCACTCCAGTTTAGAAACACACGCGCGTCCTAGCCAAACTGAAACGAAAAGTTACTATTAGGAGAACGTGTCTATCCCGGGAGGCGGAGCCAAAAGTCGCGGAAGACCAATGAGAAAAGAGAACTCTAGACGTACCCTATAGGAAAAGGGAGTGGGTGGAGCTTAACGAAAGGCTCACAATCATATAGCAGCAATGGTTTAGAGTTCTAGAACATTCTCGAAGACCTCTTCCTCAAACGCAGTCTTAGGGGTACCAAAAATCAATTTGATTTTACATTGTCCAAGTTCAGTGCAAAAGTCTTATCCAATTACATTTGAGAATATTAAATGTGTCTGCCGCACAATAATTAAAATACCAGTCACCATCTTTCACCGCTAGTTATTAAGTAAATTCTATTATTGTATCATCACTGTATTATACGCAAGAGTGATTAACCTACATAGGTATTGCCACAATGGCTTCACTCCACCCAGCATTCCTTAAAACCTTTCATTTCAAAGCAACCAGGGACTTTCAGGTTGTCAAATAAGATATCTACAGTCTTTGTATTTTTACGGTGTGTACTTGGTTTGTGGATCCTCGTTGTAATAGTCATTCTCTCTCACTGTTTTATCTGTCTGAAACCAATCTTTTCTTTTTGGCAGGACCGGGGAATGAACTCAGGCCCTTGCCCTTGCCAGGCAAGTGCTTATCCTACTCAGCTATCTCCCCAGCCCCGAAACCAATCTTTTCTAAATGTACTCACACACACACTTACTCTTTCTCCGCTTCCCTTTCTGCAGTGTATCTCTCATAGCAACCGCTTCTCAACAATGCCTTCTTCTGCTTCCACTGTACTCTGCCTGACGTCACTTCCGGACAGTAACCCCACCTTCTGTCTTATCTTAGTTGCTATTCATACGCCCCTGCCCCAGCTTCTTGTTAGAGGTACAATTACATAAAATAGAAATTTTACTAAACATGAACTCTGAAATGAACTACAAATTTCACAAACTATTATGTCTATAATTTAACTTAATTATTTTCTGTGCACTTCTAACCTACATTTTGTATCATCTATGCTTGAATCCTTGAAAACTTTTGTTCCCTTCTTCCTCTCTCCACTGTTTATTCCTTCAACAAATATTTATTTCCAATACATATATTTTGTTTCAGTGCACATTAATTTTGCAAATTATTTAGCTTCATTGTGGCATTTTCATACATGCATGTAACATCGTTCCTCCTCTTATTTTCCATTTCCTTGCCTCTTCTGCTTGTTCCCTTCCTCTTGTCCATTAATACTTTCTTTCTACTTTTTCTTTTCTTTCTTTCTTTTTTTTTTTTTTGCAGAACCGGGGATTGAACTCAGAATCTTGCGCTTGCCAGGGAAGCGCTTATTCCACTGAGCCATCTCCCCGGCCCCTCTACTTTCATGTCATCATTTTTATAGGTTCCTCATATTAGGGAAAACACGTCATAATTGTCTTTCAGGGTCTGGCTTATTTTGTTTAACTTGATGAATGTCATTTCCATACATTTTTCTGGAAATGACATCATTTATTCTTCTTTGATTGTGTACCACACTTCCTTTATCTGATCATCTGCAGATAGGCACCTAGGTTGCTTCCAAATCTTGGGTTTTGTCAATTATGCTGCAATCAGTATGTGTATGGAGGCATTTCTGTAGCATTTTGACTTACTATAATTATTTTGGGTATTTACTAAGGAGTGGCAAAGTGGATCATATGGCTTTTATTTTATTTTATTTTTAAGTTACTCGAGATTGAGCCAGAGTCATTTTATTGAGCTATATAATTGGCTCTTTTTATTTTTTATTTTGAGATTTTTTTCTAAGTCACCAAGTTGTCTAGGCTGCATTTGAATTTGTAATCTTCCTGCCTCAGCCTTTCAGAGTGCTGGGAAGTTTGATGATAATTGCCACACCAGGATTTTTATTTATAGATATTTGAGAAACTTCCATACTAGTTTTCATAGTTGTACTAATTTACATTCACACCAGCAGCATAGAAGGGTTACTTATCCCCAGTCCCCTTTCACCAGCACTTACTGGTTTTTGTATTCTTGACCATACTCACTCTGAAGGGCATGAGATGGAATATCAGTGTAGTTGTGATCTGAATTTACCTGAATGCTAAAATGGTGACAAATATTTATTAAACATTTACCACATGCCAGGCATTGTGCCAGGCACTTGATATAGACTGGTGATTGTAACAGACAGGATAATCTCACGAAACTTGTAGTGTAACTGGAGCACCAGACAATAAAAAAAAATTAAGGATTTAACAAAGAAATGCCAAGTAACTAATTCTAAGTAAATTACTTGACTCTGACAATTCTTAACCACTCTATTCTTTGTTAATCCCCAAATTCTCTTCATCTTTAAATATATACTTTGGTCTGGTTTCATTTTACTTTTCCAAATTTTTGCCTAATTCAAGAACATTAACTAAGTTAAAAATAACACCTGTTTACTGATATATTGATGATTCATTTTCTTCACTAAAAGATGTTTTATGTGATTTAATTGAATCCTCAAAATCTTTAGCATATTAGTCATCTTTCCTGTTGCTGGGACCCAATACCTGACACCAACAGTTTAGGAAACTTTAATTTGGCTTATGGTTGCTGGGGAATCAGTACATGCTATGCTTACTCCAAGGTTGAAACATCATGGCACAAGAGCATAGCAGAGTTAAGCTTCCTAGTCCTTGGAATTCACAGCAGAGAAACAGCACCACAGAAGGACTGAGGGATCAGATATAGACTCCGAACCATACCTCCATCATCAACCCTCACATATCTAGAAATTTGTTTCATCAATCCTCTAAACAGATCAAAAAGTTAATCAACTTTACACACTGTCCTCATCAGTACACCCAGCGAAGCAGACATAATTAATTTTCAACATATATTTATACATCATTTTGTAGCACTGGGGATTAAACCTAGGGCTTCACACTGAACTACATGTTCATCCCTTTTTGTTTTAATTTTTAAATTTTTAGACAGGGTCACACTAAATCACTAAGCTGCTCAAGCTGGTATCAAACTTGTAATCCTAAACTGAGGTCTAAAGAAGTAAGTTGGCCAGTATAACAAAAGTTCTATAGTAGCTCAGGGATTTCAACCCTAAACTTTCTGACCTTAGATATTCCATGGCTCATGAATTTACATATATTTTTCTTATTTGCAATGTTTTTGTTCCAATTTGACTTGTACTAAAGAGAACAGAGAGGGTAGAGTCCTACTGCTGTAATGGCTAAAATTGATTTTGTTAAATTAAGTGACTTGAGAGCCACCCAAGGGATTGGTGGAACACACTTCTGGATGTGTCGGGTGACATAATACAGTACAAATTCCAGTACTGTATCTGGTCCTTTGGACCTGCCTCTCAAGTACTATTCCCCTATGTTCTTGGTGGCTGCAAACTAAGCAGATTTCCAACACTATGCCCTTCCACTGTCAAACTTCCGCCTTGGAGCCTGCTGAACACATACTAAATTTCCTGAGTCTGCGAGCTGAATTAAATCTTCTTCCCTTAATTTGTGAGTGTTGGGTATTGCATTGCAGCAACAGAAGAGCCAATGTATCTGGGAAAACTTCCGTCATTTTATGCCCCCTGTGTTCCAGTGGCTATGGGGGTAGCTATGGTTATGGGTAGTAATGTTGGAAAACAGGGGATCATTGAGAATATTGGAAAGAAACACTCAAGGTACAGGTGGACACATGGCTGATTTTGCACTGAATTTTTTTTTAATAAAAAAACAGAACCTTGAGCTACTATATGCAAATGGCTACGTAGACATGCTACAAACTTGGGATGCTGGGTACACTGATAATATAAAAACAAATGTTGGGCTGTGATGGTCAGAGTAGTGAATTTCAACCTTGGAAAAACAGTTCTAGTTCAGGGGAGGATAAAAGGGAGCAAGGCAAATAAGGCAGAATTACTCTTTGCTGAAAAATTGACTATGTATTAAAAGTTGAGAAAGAGAGACACTCTTGCCCAGGTGGGACCAGCTACCCAGATGATACTGCAGCAGGGGTGTACATGTGGGCTCAGGCAGGAGTGCAAATCAGCAGGCCCTGGTAGAGGGTGTGAAAGCTAGGCAGATGGGACGAATGTGGTCGAAAACTTTAATGCAACAGTGGGAAAACCAGACAGCAGTTAGATGCTTCAACACACAGACATGCAGGATAGTAGTGGGAGGATGGGGATGCTATTTTATATCAAAAGGGTTGAGGAGAACTCCAGCAACAGAAGACCAGTTCTAGCTTCCACATCCAGGAGCCCAGATCAGACCCATAACCTGGAGAAATTCCAGTGAAAACTTCACTTGTGTACACAATACTTTTCTGGGATCTGCCTTAGGCCTAATCCAGACTGGCAAAGTGGATCAAGAAGCAAAATTGAACAATATGCTGCATTCAAGTAATACATTTACTTCAAAAAGCAATTTATTGAGTGAATTCAAAGGATGGAAAAAACAATACTCCATGCCATAGGAACCCAGAGAAAAGGAGTGTTAGCTATTTTATTTATTTATTTATTTATTTATTTATTTATTTATTTATATTTTAGGGAAGGGTCTACAGGGTGTTCAGGGTCTCATTACTAGATTGAACTTGTAGTGATCCACTTATTTAACAGCCTCCTATGAGCTGGAATTACAGTGTGCACCACCATGCCCATTCTCAATTGCCATTTCAGCATGCCCCAGGGGCCGGGCCGGTATAGCAGGCCCAGGGATCAAACCTACGGGCCCCGTGCCTGCTTGCAGGTGCTTTAATCCACTGAGCCATAGAGGTGGCACCAGGAATCAAACTCAGGACCTTGCACTTGCCAGGCAAGCACTTATTCCACTGAGCTTTCTCCCCAGCTCAAAGTAAACTGCAAGCCACGACTGATCAAAAGAGACAAAGAAGGTACTTGTTAAGGGAAAACTCCAAGAAGAAGAATTAGCAATCATAAATAATGTGCAATATACACAAGTGCACACAATTACA